TAAACCACACTTCCATAGTGAAGACAATTTATAAGGCTCTATGGAATAGTTCTGAAGTGTACTACAAAGTTAAAAGAAAAAACACAACTATAAATGTTAAAACACAAAAGAAAAAGAGAAAACTTAATTAAAACTATGTGATAAAAATATCTATGCCTGAAAGACATCCACAGGCTATAGGTGAAAGATAGAAAAAGATATATTATACAAATGGAGACTGAAAGCAAGCAGGAGTAGCCTCTCTCATAACTGGCAAAGTAAACTTCAAGCCAAAATAAGTCCGGAGACAAAGAAAGTTACTTCATACTGGTTAAAAAACTATCAAATAACAAGATACAATGGTTATAAATATTTATACCCCAAATTCTGGTGTACTTACTTAAATAAAACAAATACTAATTGATACAAAGACTCAGGAGGAACCTTCTCCAAAATAGATAATATTTTAGGACATAAATACAAAAAATAAAGGTAGATAATTCCTTGAATTTTATTGGATCATAATAGAATAAAATTTGACACTATTACAAAGATATAAAATAGAAACCATTTAAACACATGGAGATTGAATAATATACTTCTGAATGAGGACAGGATCATAGAAAATGGGAGAAATAAATAAGTTCTTAGAAACAAATGAGAACAGAAATAGAACATATCAAAATCTCTGGGACAGCATGAAGGTAGCTCTAGAGGAAAGTTTACTGCATTGAGTGCCCACTTGGAAAAATACAAATAAAAACAACAACAACAACAAAAAAACAGAAAGATGCCAAATAAATAGTCTAATGTTACATCTTGAGGCCCCATAAAACCAAGAGCAAACTCATTCTAAAACTAGTAGAAGACAGGAAATAATTATGATCAGAGCCAAAATTAATGAAATTCAGACAAAAAATTAAAAAATAAAGGATTAATGCAACAATGAACTGATTCTTTGAAAAGATAAACAAGATTGATAAACCTTTAGCCAAACTAACCAAGAAAGAAAAGACCCAAATCAACAAAATTAGAAATGATAGATACTTCTGAAATCCAGAGAATTATTAGAATAATACCTAACAAATGAGAAATCTGGAAGACTCTGACAAATATCCAGAAACATATGACTTACACAAATTGAACGAAGAGGATATTAAAAACCAGAACAGACAGATATAATGTAATGAGACTGAAGCAGTAATGAAAAGCCTTCCAACAAAGTAAAGCCCGAGACCAGATGGATTCTCAGCTGAGCTCTAGCAGGCCTACAAAGATCTAATGCCAATTCTCCTAAACTATTCCATGATATTGAAAGGGAGGGAAAACTCCCAAATTCATCCCATGAAACCATTATCATCCTGACATCAAACCCAGAGAAAAACACACAAGGAAAGAAAACTACAGACCATTATCTCTGAACAGACACAAAAATACTTAGCAAATATTAGCAACTCACATTTAAAAATATATTAAGAAGAATGTACACTACGATCAAGTTGGTTTCACCCCAGGAATGTAAGGTTGGTTCAACATATGCAAATCAATATACATAATTCATCACATAAATAGAATGCACAAAAATCACATGATCATCTCAACAGATACAACATCCAGCATTCATTCATTATAAAAACACTGAAGAAACTAGGGATGGATGGAACTTAATATCATAAAGGCTATATATGACAAAATCAAAGCCAACAACATAGTGAATGAAGAAAAACTGAAAGCGTTTCTTCCAAAATCAGGAACAAGACAAAAATATCCACTCTCACCACTTCTATTCAATATAATTTTAAAACTGTAGCCAAAGAAATCAGGCAAGAGAAGGAAATTAAAAGGGTATAAACAGGAAAAGATGTAGTCACACTATAAGTTTGTCAATGACATGATCCTATATTTAGAAGACTCGAAAAACTCCACTGGAAGACTTTTAGAGCTGATCAACAAATTCAGCAAAGTAGTGGGATATAAGATCAACACAGAAAAATCAATAGCTTTCCTAAACTCCAATAAGGAATCTGCTAAGAAAGAAAACACAAAAACAATTTCATTTAGAATAATCTCAAATAATACACTTGGGAATAAATCTAACCAAGGAAGTGGAAGACCTCTATAATGGAAACTACGAAACACGAAGAAAGAAACTGAAGAAGACCTCAGAAGATGGGAAAATGTCCATGTTCTTGACTAGGCAGAATTAATATTGTCAAAATGTCCATCTTATTAAAAGCAATATACAGATGCAATGTGATTCTATCAGAATGCCAATGACATTTTTCATGGAACTAGAAAAAAGTTCTAAAATTCATATAGAAGAATTAAAAAAAAAACAGAATAGCCAAAGTAAGACTGAGCAATAAGAGTGATGCAGGTGGCATTACAATACCAGATCTCTAATTATACTACAGAGCTACAGTAACAAAAAATGCATGATACTGGCATAAAAATAAATATAAAAACCCATGGAATAGAAAGAAAGACACAAAGACAAATCTTCATAGATAGACATCTGATCCTTGACAAAGGTACCAAAAACACAAGGGGAAAAAAACATGGCCTTTTAAATAAATGGTACTGGGATAACTGGATATCCATATGTACAAGAATGAAACTTCTCTCTCCTTAAATAAAAAAGTCAACTCAAATTGGATGAAAGACCTAAGTGTTAGACCAGAAACCCTGCAACTGCTGAAGGAAAACAGGGTCAACTCCAACATATTGGTTTAGGCACTGATTTCCTTAATGACTCCTAAAGCTCCAGAAATAAATGAAGAATCAATAAGTGTAATGACTTTAAATTAAAAAACTTCTGTACAACAAAGGAAACAATTAAGATCATGAAGAAAGTGCCTAAAATGAGAAGAGAATCATTTTAACTCTTCTAACAGGAGATTAATATCCCAAATACACAGAAAACTCAAAGAATTTGCCATCAAAAAACAATAACTCAATCAATAAATGGGCAAATGAACTAAATAGATATTTCTCAAAAGAAAAATTGCAAATGGCAAACAAATATATGAAAACAGAAATAAGGAGAATGCAAATCAAAACTACACAGAGATTTCATTTCAATCCAGTTAGAATGGCAATCATCAAGAATATAAATAAATGCTCATGAAGCTATAAGAAAAAAAGGTACACTCATGCATTGTTGGTGGGACTGCCAATTAGTAGTACCACTCTGGAAGCAGTACAGAGATTCCTCAAAAGCCTAGGAATGGACCTACCATATGACCCAGCTATCCCACTTCTTTGTATTTATCCAAAAGAACAAAATGAGCATACTGTAGTGATAAATGCATACCAATACCAATGTTTACAGCAGCACAATTCACAATAGCTAAGTTAAGGAAATGGTCTAAGTGTTCCTCAACAGACAAACAGATTTTAAAAAATGCAGTATATTTACACAATGAAATTTTAATCAGCTATAAAGAAGAATGAAATTATGTCATATGCTGATAAACAGATGGAAATTGGAGAACATAATGCTAAGTGAAATAAGCCTAACTCAAAGTGAAGGGCTGAATGTTGTCTCTCATTTGCAAAAGCTAGAGAAAAGAAATTTTAAAAAGGGGGTTCTCATGAAAATATGAGGGAGAATAGCACAGAAAAGAAAGGAATTGAGGGGGAGGGAGAAACCATGGGAAAAGGGAGGAACTGCAGAATGCAATTGACCAAATTATGCTATGTATATGTATGAATATATCAAAATGAATCAACTTATATGTATAACTATAATGCACCAATTAAAAAAAAATAAATTAACAGAAGGAAGAAGCATAGAGTACAGGAAGAAGATCAAGTGGAGGGAGAAGGGAAGGAAAGGAGGTAGTATTGGAGACAAAAAAGGAGTAAATTATGTTATATGCATTTATGAGTATGTCAAAATGAACCTGACAATATCTATAATTATAATGCACTAATATAAGAAGCTACTTTATTAAAGAAGGCTATAAAAGACATTTTGGGAACAGTTGAGAAAATCTGAATGTGGACTACTATATTATTAGGGAATTACTATCAGTTTTATTATATAAGAGAATGTATTGTTTGCTGGAGATACATGAAGGCTGATTTTGTTACATAAGAAAAGGTACTTATTTATTAGAGATTAATTATGAAATGTCATGATTTCTATAATTTACTAAGAAACGGTTCAACTAATACATGTATAGTGGAAAATTCAGCAAAAATGTTAACAAGTATTGCATTCAGATGGAAAGCATTCATTCGTTCAACTTTTCAGTAAACTGAAAATTTTAATATCAAGAGTTAAAAATATATGCCTGAATACACAAAATATACTACTTTTAAGTATATTATTTTAGGGGAATATTTTAATAATTTGGAATTCAGTTTTTAATTTTACATTCTAATAGTTCTACCTGACATGAGGGACACAATAAAATGTCTCTGGTACAATTATACATGAGATCTGATTTAAGTTTTCCATTTACTTTTTTGCTTCTTAAACCTAATCTGAATCAATTATATAGATATTGTAAGAAAAAAATTTGATTCTCTTGTATTTTTTGTGATATGTTCACTCAACTCAGCAATATTCATGATTCTCATCTGGTTTGTACATAACCCTGATAATTGCTTATTTTTTTCCTCTTCTGCTGTCTGTCTTGTGGGCAATTCAAAGCTGATACCAGAAACTAATAATGAAACCCAAAATATAGTCAATAGATGTTTCTTTCTTTAACTTTGGTAAAAAATTTGATATAAATTCAAATTGTAAAAGTTTTTGTATGATTTGTAGATTACACTGGTCATATTTATAGATTGAAAAATATGCTATATTATGTAAATCTGTAAATTTACACTGTATTTAAAGAATATTAATTTCTAACTTTTCATGTAGTGCTCCAAATGCCTACTTAAACATTTTAGGAGGACAGATAAAAGGGGAGGAAATAAATTAAATTCAGGATTCACAAATGCAAAAACTGGTGTCACAAAAGACCTCCTTCAAAGGCTATAGTATGAGAAAATGGCAAGAGTACCTGTACATCCTGCATCATCTGCCTGAGCTTCAGGCCCCAGGATTTCTTGCCCTTCCTTTCCTGCTGAAATCAAAGAACAGGGGATTAAAAGAGACGTATTTGCCACAAACATTTTAGCTTCTAGAAATCTGAAAAGAATTAGTTCAGATTATATTTAATTTGGATTTTTTTCTTTTACATATATGGGACTGTACTGTTGGAAAGTAGTGCTTTATAGAAGTATTAAGCAGTTAGTTTTGTCAAAAACACAAAGATGTCTTAGACAAATCTAAGATATCAATGCAGATTTAGATATGATTCTGAAATTATACATATTTTAGAGTTATAGGTTTAGTATCCTTTATCTGAAATGCTTGGGACCAGAAGCATTTTGAATTTCAGATTTTTAAATATTGACATATATAAATGAGTTATCTTGGGTATGGGACCCAAGTCTAAATGTGAAACTCATTTGTTTCAGATATACCTTATACACATAGCCTGAACATAATTTCTTACAGTGTTTTTGGGGTGCCTACATTTTTACTGTGACCTGTCACATAAAGTCAGGTGTGAACCACTAGTGGTGTCATGTCAGTGCTCAAAGAATTTCAAATTTTGGATTTTCAGATTATGAATGTTCAACCTGCCTAAGCATACTAGGATTTTAGTAGTATTTTAGGAAAAGAGCTATATCTATAGTTAGTATGATTTTTTTCATTTATTTTCCAAAGCACATATTTCTGTGGTCCAGGTACTTTGCTAAATGTTTCATAAACTTGTTTCTTTTAACCTTCATAACAACTTTTTTGGGGGGTGGGTGGGTACTGGGGATTGATCTAAGGGGCACTTAACTAATGATCCACATCCCCAGCCTTTTTTAAAAATAGTTTTAGAGATAGGCCCTAGGGCCTCACTAAGTTGCAGAGGCTGGCTTTGAACTCATGATCCTCCTGCCTCAGCCTCCCAAGCTGCTGGAATTGCAGGTGTGCACCACTGTGTCCAGTCATAACAATCTATTTTATAAACTGAAAAAGCAAAACAAAAGTTGAGGGTTGGAGAAGTTAAATAATTTGCCCATGGACACACAGCTATTAGATGGGAGAACTGGAATTTGTATGCAGATATGATTGACTTCAGAGCCCTTTCCATTACACACTTCTGCACTAGAAAACTAGAAAGACTAAACCAAATGTCACTGTGCCCAAAGCAAACATCTAAGGCACTATAATTTTTCTTCTACTCTAACTCTATTCCTTAGAGGAACTCTACATGTTTGTGATTCTCCCTTCCCACCTCTGTTTGTAGTAGGCTATTTAATGTATTTAATACAGAATAGATTCAGAGTAAATATTTTATATTATAAATGCATACTTTGGCAAAATGTTTTATATATTTGGGCACATTTTATTTATCATGAAAGTTTATTAAGAACACATGAATATATTAGAAGACATGAAGGAGTTAGAAACTGCTCTTTTAACTGTAGCAGAGTATATGTTCTAATTAAAATCAGAATAATTTTAATTAATTAATTTTTGATCCTGATAATTGAACCCAGGGGTGCTTAACTACTAAGCCACACCCCCAGCCCATTTCATTTTTTAATTTTGAGATAGGGTCTCGCCAAGTTGCTTAGGGCCTTCTAAGTTGCTGAAGATGACTCTGAATTCCTGATCCCCTGCCTTAGCCTCCTGAGCCGCTGGGATTATAGGCATGAACCACTGTTCCTGGCTAATCAGAATATTTTAAACATAATATAGGTATCTGCACCACATACAAACCTCACTAAATATGTCAGCTGAAAAATCTTGATATTAAATTTCTCTTTGAGAAACAGCACTAATTAAGTAAAATATCTTTGCATTAAATGTATTTCTTTAAGTGCTATGGATTAGTAGGTACATTATTTAGCAGATTTTAGCTTTTATACTAATATTTAAAGATGATCACTATATGAAAAATTGTTAAAATAAGTACAAATCATTTTAGATCAACATAAAAACATCAAGATAATTATGTGATTAACTTCTAAAAATTCTCATTATCAGCATAATAATTAATAATTTAAAAGTTCTTATCAAGGGTTTACAAAAATAAGAATGTATGCCAGTGTTTGCCAAATATCTGTAAACCTCTAATATCTCTTACCCTTTTTTCCTCTCCAGTGCACCTACTTAAACCAAAATAAAAAACAGTATGCCAGCTGGGCAATTAAATGATGATATTATAGTAACATTATTATATATCTATGTCCTTTATTTATCCTCATATAAACAGACTTATCACTTGTTAAGATGAACTATAACACTGATGTTAAAAGTTAAAATGACATTTTTAAAATTTATATACAACAACAGAATGCATTACAATGAAATGACATTTTAAAATTATTTATTTTTCTACTTAGTTATTATAGATGATTAAAAAACTGTCTAGGGCTGGAGTTGTGGATCAGTGGTACAGAACTTGCCTGGCATGCGTGAGACCCTGGGTTCCATCCCAGCGCTGCATATAAGTAAATAAAATAAAAAAGATCCATTGACAACTAAAAATAAAAAATAAAAAAAAGCTGTCTGGAATTCATTTAAATGATTTCTTCATTTATTCCTTCCTTCATGTTTGCTTGGGATAAAATCTAGGCTCTTTAGATGAAAATTTAACATATTTTAGAATCTATTCTCAGCATTATTACATACAATATAAAACCTAAAAGTCTCCATTCTCCTCTTCTCATCATTGCAGTAAGTATTTTGGTTGAAAGACTAAAACAATGTTACTTAATAAAAACAAAAAATATCCTAATTTTGGCCTGTAACGTAAACACTCTGTTTTCAAATGTGCTGTCCAGTAATAGCCTCGATTGCGTTCATTCATGAAGTCACAGCACCTTCCCTAATGTGTTCTGATCTTATGTCTAATTCAGGAAATATAAAGGGAGTAAAGCAATAAAATCTATCTGTACAAAGGATTTTCCTCTATAAGACAATAATGTCAACACATTATGATTGGTTAACCTAAATTCAATTTAAAAAGGAACAGTAGAGAACGCTCCTCAGGCTTCTGCTTTTAGTCTAAATTCCAAAGCATATATAAAAGTGAGTAAAACCCCTGAATAATAAAGACTGTTATTTTCAAATAAAGGCAAAGTATAACATGCAAAATAAGTCACAAAATACTTATCAGCAATAAAAGGAACAAACTATTGATATATGCAACATCTTTGATCAATCTCCAAGAAATCATGGAAAGTGAAAAAAAAACATTCCAAAGGTTACATACTGTCTAATTTACATGGAATTCTTGAAAATGCATAATTATATATGGTGAACAGATTAGAACCCTTGGTTGCCAAGGTTTAGGGATGAGGCAAAAGAGAGCAAGAAATTACACGAGAGGATACTAGATCTGCCGTAATGGAACTGTTCTGTATTTGACTATAAATATCAATTTTAATAACACTACCTGTGATTTCCATTATAGTTTTGTAAGATGCTACCACTGGGCAAAAATGGGTCAAAGGTACAGAGGGGCTCAATAAATTATTTGTGACTCTCTAATTATTTGTGAATGTATAAGTTTATCAAAATGAGAAGTTCAAATAAAAATAGATCAAGAGGAAATATTAGAAATTTAGATCAAAAGAGATACTGCTTATTCATTTTAGCCATAAAATGAAATTGGTTTTTACTTAAGTATAAGCAAAAATGACAAATGCAATTCATTTTAATTTAAAATTCAGAAGAATTACTATCAAATTGAAGGACTGAACTAAAGGATAAGATTGATTATTTAGAATGTTATTCTAAAACTTGAGTTTTTGAAATTCATATCAATGCATTTGTAACCATCTCAAATGTGTTTAGAAAAAATTTTTATAGTAATCTCTTAGGACAGTAAGAAGTTAAGTGAATCAGATTTTCCATGCCTGTGGTAAGTCTTCCCTAAGCCTGCTTTCTGTTATTCCCTCACTACTGTCCCTGCTAAAGGAAACCTATCCCCAAAGCAAATGTCAACCAATTTCTGAGATCAAACTTCAATTAGTAATGACATGTTTCACTGTGTATTTTTCTACACAACTTCATTTTCCCCACATTGTATTTCTATAACTGTAAGCAGAAAAATTAGCAAAAATTGGCAAACACTGGAATATATCCTGCAAATATTGTGGTATAGGTTGAACAACACTAACTTGAAAATCCAAACTTAAATTTCTGATGATAAGAGTATTTTGGAGTTTGGAATTTTGGATAAGGGATACTAAATGGCTAAGGTCCATGCAAATATTCCAAAATTTTATAAACTCTAAAATCTGAAATACTTCCGGTCCCAAGCATTTCAGATAAGGGATGCAAAGTCACAGTAAATAAAATTCCAATGTCCATGAATATCTGTTAACTTAGATAAATATGTGTTTGTGTGTGTGTGTGTGTGTGTGTGTATGTATATGAGGTGAGACTTCAACATACTATAGGTTGATTTCCTTTACTTTGTTGTTTTTCAACTCTGGTATCCCTTGGCCTGGAAGTGGGTATTGGGGCACTCTGGTTTTAGCTCAAGACGCATGAAAGTGCTCAAAGAAGATAGGAATAATCACTTCCTTTCTCTATTCCCTTTTGCCCTCATCTCCAGGTCACTACAAGTAGAGACAATGCTATTAGTAGGAGCTTGAAGGCACCTAAAACTCTTAGGGAGGGGAAACTTCTCCAATCAAGAACTGTGACTCCAAGAGGACAGCAGAAATGTCAACTGAGTTCTTTTCCTCCCTATCTTCTTGCAGATCTTCTTCCTGCCTGCACAGTTCAGGATGTATGAGGGAAAGTGGGATAAATAAAGTCCCAGATTTTTTGCAAGATGACTGAAAAGGAGTATCCCTTTCAGGGAATTGAAGTACTGGGAAGATCATAAAAAAGAGATGCTCAGGAAAATGACCCTTTAAGCTTGTTTATGAACTCCTGGCTTTACGCCCTCAGAATGTGAGAACCTAAGTATGGGATAGACCACTACCCATGTGAGAACCTAAGTATGGGATAGACCACTACCCATGTTCCAGACTGACCACAGGGTATTACAATAGGACAGAT